GGACGCGGAGCTGCGGGAGGCGCAGCGCGACTACCTCGATTTCCTGGACGATGAGGTGAGGCCGGAGGGGGGTTGAGCTGGGAGAATCGGGTCCTGAATTCCTCCCCCCGCCCTGCCCCCGGGGGTTGGGGAGCAGCGGTCCCTGTGCCCCCCTTCCCCAGCCCCTGGTGGGGGGGTGTCTCAGGCAGGGGTGATGCAAAGTGATCTGGTTTTGGGGTGTTTTTCTCCCACCCCTCTTACAGGAAGACCAAGGGATTTACCACAGCAAAGTCCGGGACATGATCAGTGACAACCAGTATCGCCTCCTGGTCAGCATCAACGACCTGCGGCGGAAGAACGAGAAGAGGGCCAACCGGTTGGTGTGGGGCGAGGGGTTCCCCCCCGGCACCGTGCCTTGGGTGGGATTTCAGAGGTCCAGCCCTGCTTTTGTAGCTCCTTTGTGGCAAGGAAGGGCCAAACCTTGTGCTTGTGTGGCAGGTGGACCTGTGTCCCCTTTCCAACGACGACACCCATCCCTTTCCAACGACGACACCCATCCCTTTCCAACGACGACACCCATCCCCTTCCAACGACGACACCCATCCCCTTCCAACGACGACACCCATCCCCTTCCAACGACGACACCCATCCCCTTCCAACGACGACACCCATCCCTTTCCAATGACACCCATCCCTTCCAAGCTTGCAAGCCCATGATTTGTCAAAAACTTTTTGCAGCAAGCTGGAGTTGATTGTACGATGTAAATCATCTCCTTATTTAGGATGCAGGGGGATATTTTGGACCAGGCTTGCCAATCAGCTCAGGGACACGTGAGGTTTTTCAGATGTGGTTGGGTTTGTTGAGCTCCTGGCTGTTGGTGGCAGTGGACCTGACGCAGAGCTGTGATGGGCTTTGGAGGTTTTCACCTCTTGTTCCTTGCGGAGCACATGCAGGCATGGGAAGAGTGTTGAGGAAGGCAGAAGGGGCTGATCGGTCGACATCATCACCTCCCTCTGTTGCAGGCTTTTGAGCAATGCCTTTGAGGAGTTGATCGCCTTCCAGCGTGCCCTGAAGGATTTCGTTGCCTCTGTCGATGCCACCTATGCCAAGCAGTACGAGGACTTCTACATCGGGCTGGAGGGCAGCTTCGGCTCCAAGCACGTGTCACCGCGGACGCTGACGGCGTGTTTCCTCAGCTGCATTGTCTGCGTCGAGGGCATCGTCACAAAATGTGAGACCGGGGGAAGACCCAGGGGCTTCGGGGATGGTGGGTCCAGGTTTTTGCTGCAGAAGGGCTGGAGTCCATCAGGAGCCATGGCACATCCTGGCAACCTGGGCAAAGGGAAAAGGGGGCTTGGCAGAAGGTCCTGAGGTGGTCTTTGAGCTCAGCAAATCCTGGCCGTGGTTGACAGCGGGTTGCGTCCCAAGCACAGTTTAGCATTGGAGACCCTACTGACAGAGTGAGGGGACATCCCTGCCCCTAACTCCTCTTTCTTCCAACCTCAGGCTCTCTGGTTCGTCCAAAGATCGTCCGGAGTGTCCATTATTGCCCAGCTACCAAGAAGACTATTGAGCGCCGATACACAGACATGACATCCCTGGATGCTTTCCCATCCAGCTCCGTCTACCCTACAAAGGTGAGGTGAATCAGCCTTGTGGGAAGCGTCAGCAGGTTCCCCTGGGGAGAACGTGCCAGCTCTGAGCCCAGGGTCTCAAATCCCTTTGCATCCCTTCTCCCTCTGCCAACACAGCCCAGGAAGTAGAGAGAGGACACATCACACATGTGACAGTCCCAGAGAGCTACTAGGAAGATCTGAAGACACAAGGCCACCAGACCCAATAGTTCAGATGTTAGTTCTGATCTTGGTTCTGCTGGAGCGTGGTTTCTTGGGGGGTTGTCAGCCAGTCTTGTTGCTGCTGAGACCCAGGTCAGCGTGGTCATGCCTGTGCTGTCCTGGAGGCTGTACGCCTGGGGTAGAGGGTTTGCCCAGTATTTGGGAACGGACGAAGGTTGACCTGAGCTTTGTCCCCATTGCACACAGCATGGGTGGTGTGTCACCGCTGCCTGCAGTAGAGACAGGAATTGGAGAGACCTTATGTACTAGGGTGATGGGCGTCAGCAGCTTTAGAGTGGGGGGGCTGTGGAGCTGGTGAACCCCAGCCTCCAGCAGTCCTGATAACACAACCCTCTCCACCAGTCTCGTCTACGTTGGGTGATGCAGCCTGTCTTCCCACTGCTCAGCTGACCCACCTCTTCTTGTGCTCCTGGAAAACGGTGCTAGTCTCTTTATTGGCATTCCTCCTCTAGGATGAAGAGAATAACCCCCTGGAGACAGAGTTTGGCCTCTCGGTCTACAAGGACCATCAAACCATCACCATCCAGGAGATGCCCGAGAAGGCACCAGCAGGGCAGCTGCCACGCTCAGTGGATGTCATTCTGGATGACGACCTGGTGGACAAGGTGAAGCCTGGGGACCGCATCCAGGTGGTGGGGACGTACCGCTGCTTGCCAGGAAAGAAAGGGGGTTACACTTCAGGGACTTTCAGGTAAGCCTTCTTTTGTCTTGACTTCGGCCCTCCCACCCTTTTTGGTCTGGAAGATGAGATCTAGGGCAGGCAGGTGGCCATCACAGAGCTGGGTCAAACATTGGCTTAAATCACTTGGAAGTGGTTTGCACTTTGCTCCTCAGCATCAGTGCGTAGCTGTGAGCTCCAGCTGTGCACAGAGGGGGTTGGATGCTCTTACAGATGCTCCACTGATGGCTCAGTGCAGTCAGACAGAGAGGCTACAGCTCTTGAAGCTTTCCAGCCTCCTCCAGGACTTCCTAGAGCAAACAATGACCCTGTGGAAGTTTCTGCTCTGGTGTTGCTGTGACCCGTAGGCTCTGTGGGGTTTGCAGACCTGATCATGGCTATGTCGCTATGTCCCTTCTCCAGGACTATCCTCATTGCCTGCCACGTGAAGCAGATGAGCAAAGACATCCGGCCGCTCTACTCTGCTGCTGATGTGGCCAAGATCAAGAGATTCAGCAAGAGTCGCTCCAAGGTATTTTAAGTTGTACTTCTAGAAGGCAGGCTTGTAGCCGAGCATGAGGTTTCAGCTAGACCAGCTTTAAGGTTTGGCATGTGGCTAAGGAGGTGTCTTGTTGGGTTGCAAGTAATTCTTCAACCCTCTTAGCGACGTTTTTGCTGTGTTTTCCACTCACTTTCGTTGCATTTTCTGCTTGGGCTTTGATCAGGTCCTCATTTTTTTTGTAGCTGCTTCTGTACTGCTAGCAGAGAATCCTTCCTGCCCGCGGGCAGCAATGCTGTTCGTAGCTGTCGAGACAGAAACCTGTCCGTGTTGTGTGTCCTGACCCTGCCAGCCTGTTGTCAGAGAATTTCCTCTGCAGGAGGAACACTTTCCTCTTCAGACCCCAAACCAGAAGGAGATAAGGAGGTCTGCCCCAGCCTGGTCTTGTGCTCAGACCTTCGCTTCATAGTGTGGAGAGGAGAAACTCTTGCTCTCACAGGGGTTGCAGCTTCCAGTGCTTGCTTGGGTGACCGTGACAGGATGGTCTAGGACTTCAGAGCCCTATTGAAACAAAACTCTGACAAACGATCTTCTTTCTAAATAATTTGCATCCACGTGGTTTTGTTCTTATTTGCTACAGTCCATCTGATGAGCTGTGCTCTTCTGCCTTAGGATATCTTTGACCAGCTGGCGAGGTCCCTGGCTCCCAGCATCCATGGGCATGAGTACATCAAGAAGGCCCTTCTCTGCATGCTGCTCGGAGGGGTGGAGAAGGTCCTGGAGAACGGGAGCCGCATCCGAGGAGACATCAACATCTTGCTGATAGGTGTGGAAAGGCTAGGCAGAGGCATCCTCAGCTGGTGGTATTGGGGGGTGAGATGAAGGAGCATTTTTCTGGACTTAATTTAATAGAGTAATTGAAGTTAGACAGGATCTCCAGAGGCCTCTGGTCCAAGTATGTGCGCAGGGCAGAGCCAGTGTCACCGGTAGATCAGGTTGCTTTGGGACTTGTCCAGTTGGTTTAGAACATCTCAAGGGATGGGATCCCACGACCTCTGTGGGCCGCTATCCCAGTGTTTGACCACCCTCAAGGAGATTTCTTTTTCTTCTGCCATCTGATTAGGATTTCCTGTGTTGCAAGTTGTTCCCATTGCCTCTGGTCACATCACCATGCACCTCGCAAAACTCTAACTCTGTCTTCTTCCCATTGGGTTATTGAGGAAGGTGAGAAGATCGTCTGATCACCGACTTTCTGAAGGCTGAACAAACCCACTTCTGTC